CCCCAGAAAGGGAGGGAGGTGCCGCCCTGCGGACTCCAACTCCCAGCCTGCCCCGCGCGCGGCGAGGCCCCCCCTCGCCAAACAAGAGGTGCCCGCAGCGCGCCTGCTCCGCCGCCCTCTCCGCTTCCCCGCGGCCCTCCCCACCCCAACCCCGTAGAGCCCTTCCATCGCGCCTCACTCACCCCCTCACCCCTCCCCGGACCCCCCCACTCTCCCCTCGGTTCCCCCTTGGGCCTCTTTTCCTTTCCCCTCCACCCGCTCAGGCACTCTCCGCGGCCACCCCAACCCCCCTCAGCCGCGGGGTCCTCGAAGTCTGGGAAGGGAGGGGGGGGAGAGAAGGGCGAGCCGCCGCCTCCTTCCTATTGGCCCGCTCCCCCGCCGCCTCCCCTGGCATTGGCTGGCGAGCCCGGAGGAGGGGGGCGTGGCGTCAGTTGGCCACGCCCACTCTTTATATATACCCCGGCCGGCCGCCTCGCTCCCGCACTCGCGGGCGGGCGGCGGGCGCGGGTGGAGGCTCCTCTCCTCCCTCCCTTCCGGGTGCAACAGCGCCCCCTGGCGGTGGCGCATGCGCAAGGGAGGCGCGGCCTAGCGCGCATGCGCGGCCCGCCATGGCGGCCGAGCCTGAGGCCTTCCTGGTCCCTCCGCCTCCCCCTTCATCATCCTCCGCCGTTACCGGAGCCCGGGAGGAAGAAGAAGAAGATGCTCCTCACGCTGTGGAAACCCCCAGGCCGAGGAACGGCTTCAGGTCGGCGGGAGGAGGAGGAGGAGGGAAGCGGCGGAGCAGCTGCGGAGCCAAACAGCCCCCCTGGAAGCGGCGGCGGCGGGCGGCCTCGGAGTGCGGCCCGGTCCTTCCCTCCGAGTTCCTTTTAGGAGGCAACATTTTCGACCCTTTAAACCTCAACAGCCTGTTGGACGAAGAGGTGAGCCGGGCCCTCAACGCCCGCACCCCGCAATCCTCCCCTCTCCCCGCCCGCGGCCGGGACCCCGTGGAGATCCTGGTCCCCCGGGATATCACCGACCCCCTCAGCCTCAACGCCCCCGGCGAGGGGCTGCGTTTGGCTTCCCCCGCCAAAACCGCCCGCCGGCGCCATCGCCACCGCGGCCAGCAGCGAGGAGGAGGAGGAGGAACATCAACCACCACCACCGCTGCTTCTTCTTCTTCTACCGTCGCCTCCGAGGAGGCTGCTTGTCCCCACGCCGACCCCGCCGCCCTCGTCACCCCCCCTGCGCCTCCTCCATGTGCCACCTCCTGCCCCGGCCGCCATCGCAAACGCCGACGGACTTGCAGTAAATCGGAAGGAACCCGCCCCCCGCCCGAAATAAAACCCAAACCCCCGGGTCAAAAAACCCAACCTCCCCAACAACGTCAACGCCACCGGGTCCGAAAGTTCCAATATGGCAATTATTGCAAATATTACGGTTACCGTAACCCCGACTGCGAGGACGGGAGGCTCCGGGCCATGAGACCCGAATGGTTCGCCGGGAAGGAGGTTTTGGACGTGGGCTGCAACGTCGGGCACCTCACCCTCAGCATCGCCAAACGTTGGGGGCCCTCCCGGGTGGTGGGGCTGGACATTGACGGGGGGTTGATCCGTTCTGCCCGACAAAACATCCGGCATTATCTGTCGGAGGAGATCCAAGCCCAAGCGGCGGCCGGAGCCGGAGGGGGGAGCGGTGAAGGAGAAGGAGGAGGAGGAGGAGGAAAGGGGGGGCCACGGAAAGGTTTTCCTGCCGCTCTCTTGGCCAGTCGGGGTCCCATTGCTGCCCCCCGCTTGCCCCCCGACGGGCCCGGGGCTGCTGATTTCCCCCACAACGTCGTGTTCGTCACGGTGAGTCGGGG